CATCTACATGAATCAGCCATGGGTTTGCATGTGCTCCCCATCCAGAACACCCCTCTCTCCTCCCTCCCCATCCCATCTCCCAGGGTCATCCCAGTGCACCAGCCTGGAGCACCCGGTCTCATGCATTGAACCTGGACTAGTGATCTGCTTCACATGTGATAATATACACGTTTCAATGCTGCCCTCTTAAATCATCCCACCTTTGCCTTCTCCTACAGAGTCCAAAAGACTGTTCTTTACATCTGTGTCTCTTTTGTTCTCTTGTGTATAGCGTCATCATTACCATCTTTCTAAATTCTATATATATGCGTTAGTATACTGTATTGGGGTTTTTCTTTCTGACTTACTTCACTCTGTATAACAGGCTCCAATTTCATCCACCTCATTAGAATAGATTCAAATGCATTCTTTTTAATGGCAGAGTAATATTCCATTGTGTATATGTACCACATCTTTCCTATCCTTTCGTCTGCTGATGGACATCTAGGTTGATTCCATGTCCTGGCTATTGTAAACAGTGCTGTGATGAACACTGGGGTACATGTGTCTCTTTCAGTTCTGGTTTGAGAGGATCTTCTCAGTCCTGGGATTGAACCTATGTCTCCTGCATTGGCAGGCAGATTCCTTACCACTGAGCCATGAGGGAGTCACCAGCCCTAAATGACTTTACTTGAATCTTTAAAATGTCTTCATAGTCCTTCTGCCGCTAATAATGGCTAGAGCTCCAGCAGATAATTTTTGGACCATGAGGAATCTCAAGAATGGGAACTGCACATCAAGATACAGAGCAACACAATATAGCATCCTAGTTTCCTGGCATCAAGGAGCTACCACATCACACCTGAAAGGTCACTTCTAGATTTTCATTTTAGAAATAAACATGCAGCCACACTGAAATAAGAATTGGTAAAAAAAAAACAAAACAAAAAGAAACTACTGACTATTGGGTGTCAGAGTAGAGCAGAGTTGGGGGCATCTCCCTCATAATGGCTATGAAAACAGTTTCTAGAGTCAAACTGATTAGCTCCATCATTCATTAACTATATGATACTGAATAAGCAATGTAATGGCTCTAAGCCTCATTATATTAACAGAGAAGATATATTAATAGAGTCTACTGCATGGGTTATGTGAGAAATGGTTTAGACTGTTCATTAAAATGGTTCTTACAGTGACAGCACATAGTAGGTGCTCAATAAATGTCAAAGAAAAGTCAGGTAGGCACTGGGTAATGGTACAATTTTTAAAATACATTTCATGAAATGCAAATGAAAACTGCAATGAGGTTTTGCTTCATATCAGTCAGAATAAACATCATTAAAAAGTCTACAAATAACGCATGCTAGGGAGGGTATGGAGAAAAGGGAACCCTCTGATGCTGTTGGTGGGAATGTCAGTTGGTGAACCCACAATGGAAAACAGTATGGAGGTTCTTCAGAAAACAAAAAATACAATATGACTCAGCAATTCTACTCCTGGGCATATATATACATATATATGGAAAAAACTATAATTTAAAAAGATACAAGCACCCCTATGTTCAAAGTAGCACTATTCACAAAAACAAGGACATGGAAAAAACCTAAATGTCTGTTGACAGATGAAAAGATAAAGTGTGATGCGTGTGTGTGTGTGCACACACACACACACACACACACACAGGAATATTACTCAGCCATAAAAAAGACAAAATAATGCCATCTGTAGCAACACAGATGCAACTGAAGACTATCATACTAAGCGAAGTAAGTCAGAAAGAGAAAGACAAGTACCATATGACATCACTTAATGTATGGACTCTAAAATATGACACAAATGAACCTATCTAGGAAACAGAAACTCAGTCACAGACTGAGTGTCACAGAGAGAGCAGGTTTGTTGCTGCCAAGAGGAAGGAGTGTAGGGGCGGGATGGACTGGGAGTTTGGGGTTAGTAGATGCAAACTATTACCTATAGAATGCATAAACAACAGGGTCCTACTGTGTAGCACAGGGAACTACAACATCCTGGGATAAACAATAATGGAAAAGAACATAAAAAACAGCGTGTGTGTATATATAAACTGAGTCACTTCGCTCTACAGCAAAAATTAACACATTGTAAATCAACTGTAGTGAAAAAAAAACACATTTCATGATTTCAGAATCATATTAAATCTGCAGCTTAAAAACAAATTAAAATACTGAACATAGAATATACTGTGTAAGCTTCAAATCATTATATTAATGATTTTTCTTAAGCTTTTAAACTTGAATGCGTTATTACTTTACTATCTTCCCTTGTGGTTGAGTGCTAAAGAATCTGCCTGCTAAGGTAGGAGATGCAGGTTTGAACCCTTGGTTGGGAAGATCCTCTGAAGAAGGAAATGGCAACCCACTTTAGTATTCTCACCTGGGAAATCCCATGGACAGAAGGAGCCTAGTGGGCTACAGTCCATGGAGTCACAAGAGTTGGGCATTACTTCGCGAACGACAATATCACTTTACAATATGACCTCTAATAACATTGACAAAGTATAGTCATTTGATTGATGCATGCTAAATGATTTGTTACTATTGCTTTTTTTTTTTTTAACAAAAAGCTAAACAATGGGGAAAAAATGGAAAACCATCATGAGGTGAAGAAATTAGTTTCAGAAACAATTCAGTTTTATATTTATAAGGTATTTAATGCTACTTAAAGCAGAACTCCCACTCCCAAGCTTCATTTTAAAGTTTATTCTTGTGGAAGCCAGTATGGAGAAATGGAAAGAACCCAAGTTTTGCAGTCAAATAAACGTGAATTCAAAGACAGTTTCCATCTCTTACTACGGTAATGGTAATACAGTGTGGTTGATTAGCATTAAAAATATTTCATAGGAATTGAGGAATGCTGAATCAAATTATTTTGTGTTCATATATAATCATAATTCTATGTCAACATTGTAATTTTATTAGCAGCACACTCATTCTAAACTATTTAAGAAATATTTACCACACTGAGAAATAAGTAAAAAGGTTTGCTGTTCTCATTTTAAAAGTATCTTCCAATTCTTAAATACTTTGTACCATTCTGGTTACTGAACCATAAGACGGAAATAAAAGCTGGGGAAGTTAGAACAGCCACCGTAATCAAGGAAACAGATAAAGGATTTTCACACTAAGAACTTTACAAAGAAAAGCCTTTTGTTAGGAATACAGAATTCTCAGTGACCAAGTGTTAGAAAATTAGGAAGAGTGTAGACGCTGTACCTCAGTGGGGGCATATTTAAAAAAGCTCTGCCCACAAATATTTAAATAGGACCTCACTACAAGACTCTGAAACATGAGCCTTGCCACTGATCAGCTATTCCTCTCTGTGAGGTATTTGAGGAAAGACCACACCTGAGGTGGCAACAAGATATAAATTCTGTATTCCTAGCTGGTGGGTGTGTGCTAAGTCGCTTCAGTCGTGTCGGACTCTTTGTGACCCCGTGGACTGTAGCCTGCCAGGCTCCTCTGTCCTTGGAATTCTCCAGGCAAGAACATTGGAGTGGGTTGCCATGACCTTCTCCAGGGAATCTTCCCAAATAGGGATCGAACCGGCATTTTTTATATGTCCTGCAGACAGGCAGGTTCTTTACCAGTAGCGCCACTTGGGAAGCCCATTCCTAGTTGGTACACAGGTCCTAAGGTTACAAAATCCCCTTTGGAGATATGTAAACAAGCTTCGATAGACCCTATAAAGAGCTCCTTTTGTCTAAACTAGGTTGGCGCCAGTGGACAAAAATCAAATCCAGACATGAAGCAGAAAAGCCTCCTCTGTCACTTCCATTTTCAACAGCAAACCCTTACCGCAGGAAACAGTAATGCAGACTGCTTCAGACGAGAAAAATCAGGAGGTGAGAGCCTGCACCAGGGCCTACAGAAAAATGGCCTGGACCTGAGTTTGCTTTTTGGGATCATCATAGATGATGAGATGGTTGGATAGTATCACCGACTCCTTGGACATGAGTTTTAGCAAGCTTCAGGAGTTGGTGATGGACTGGGAAGCCTGGCATGCTGCAGTCCATAGGGGTCACAGAAAGTCGGACACGACTTTACTGACTGACTGATATAGTTAAGTATCAGTTTCTTAGTAGGAAGGGGCGGTATCTAAAGTGCTGAAATTTTTTTTTTAAATCATTTTACCCATCTCTCTTGTTATGGATTACACACGTCTCTTTTTCTATAAGATACAGAAGACTTCATGAAGACTTTCTTATATCTTTGGGTACCCACAGCCTAGCCGGATACTGAACCTAGAATATATGCCAGTGTTTTTTAAGTGAGTAAATATTTATTCAGGTTATTGAGTAGGAAAAAAGGTACCACAGGTGCATTCTTGAGACGCATATAAGCCTTGTATGGAGCTGTGCTTTCTCAACGCCTCTGTTTTACTTTATGAACAGAGTAATGAGTATGCTGCTGTTGCTGGGTATCTGACAATGGACGCACCTTTCAGTTACCTGTATTTGCATTGCTTCGGTTGGTGAGTTTTTCTTCTTCTCCCGGGTTTTCTGTTTCTGTCACCACCATCTTCTGGGTTTTTCTGAGCCACCGTGTAGACTATATCTGGGATAAAGTCAGAAGTGCTTTCCTTCCCCCTGGGGTGCGAGTATAGTTGTGGTGGTGTGGTGTAGAGGTGTGGGCAAAGAATCGTTTCTTTTCGTAGTAAGACGTTTATTTCACAATTTTTTGCTAGTCTCTTTCCCAGCCGCCCTGACTTAAAGGGAAAATGGATCACGATCAAAGTAGCCCTAACTCCTAATGTGTTTTCTAGAGGTTTTCTGACGAGTCAGGATCCAATGTAGTCAGAAAAGCAGAGGATCGCGGGGGCTCGAGTATGTCTTCTCCTTTAGAAAGCCAAAGCGCCGGGCGGAGCGAGTCGGGAAGGATTGCGGCTCAGTGCGCATGCTCGCAGGGCTGGGCTCGAGAAGAGCGCCCCAGCCTTCCGTCCAGAGACTTCCGGGAGGCGAGAAGTGGGCGGAGGCAGGGCCGGAAGCACGGGGGCGGGTGCCTGGTGCTTAACCTGGTTCCTGGGCGCGGCGCTTCAGGGCTCGGTTGGTGAACCGAGGATTCTGTGGGAAGTCTCACGTCTAGTTACGATGATTTCAAGATTTCCCTGCGGCTAGAAGTCGCCTGGGAGAAATCTGACACCAATCAGCAGGTGGGGCGATAGCCCCTGTTATGTCCTTCATTTACAGAAATTCTTCCCGGGCTTTCTGAGTTTGTTGACGACTTTTTGCTCCACCATTTCTTCTAGCTGCTCTATTCTTAATCCTTTTGCAGCCGCCCACCCCTCTCCTCCCGCCGTTATGTATGACCGGGCTCCCCGTGTGCTTAGATTGGCTGAAGGTGGCAGCACCGAGGATCGTGTGGGCCCTGGATCTTACCAGGTTCCCTACCTGAAGCAGCAGGCAACAGGTAAGAGGTAGAGAAAGGCAAGCCTTTTGTGACAGGCGTCTCACTTTCAGCCTGCCCCGCTCGTGTGTGCCTGAATGAAACACTATAGTACAACTGCATACGTAAACAGAGTATGAAATAGGCAGGCAAAATTCTATCCCTGTATTTACAGATGGTAAACCAATTTTTCCCATTTCACTAGACCAGTAAGCGTATTGCCTTTTTGATCTTACAATGGTTTTTTATATCTTAGTTTAAATGCTGCAGATTCGATCTGCGATTTTGATTTCCGTGTCCCATTGACTATCAGGCAGTTCAGTCGGTCAGTCGTGTCCGCCTCTTCGCGACCTCCCTGGACTGCAGCATGCCAGGACTCCCTGTCTATCCACAACTCTCGGAATTTACTCAAACTCATGTCCATTGAGTCAGTGATGCCATCCAACCATCTCATCCTCTGTCGTCCCCTTCTTCTCCCCCCTTTAGTCTTTGTCAGCATCAGGGTCTCTTTAAATGAGTGAGTTCTTTGCATCAAGTGGCCAAAGTATTGGGAGTTTCAGCTTCAGCATCGTCTTTACAATGAATATTCAGGACTGATTTCCTTTAAGATGGACTGGTTGGATCTCCTTGCAGTTCAACAAGGGACTCTCAAGTCTTCTCCAACACAGTAGTTCAAAAGCATCATTTCTTCGGGGCTCAGCTTGCTTTATAGTCCCAACTCTCACATCCATATATGACTACTGGAAAAACCATAGCTTTGATTAGATGGCCCTTGTAAGCAAGGTAATGTCTCTGCTTTTTAATATGCTATCTAGGTTGGTCATAACTTTTCTTCCAAGGAGCAAGTGACTTTTATTTCATCGCTGCAGTCACCATCTGCAGTGATTTTGGAGCCCAAGAAAATAAAGTCTGTCACTGTTTCCACTGTTTCCCCATCTATTTGCCACGAAGTGATGGGAGAAGATGCCATGACCTTAGTTTTCTGAACTAAGCCAACTTTTAAGCCAACTTTTTCACTTTCCTCTTTCACTTCCAACAAGAGGCTCTTTAGTTCCTCTTCACTTTCTGCCATAAGGGTGGTGTCATCTGCATATCTGAGGTTATTGATATTTCTCCAGGCGATCTTGATTCCAGTTTGTGCTTCATCCAGTCCAGCATGTTTTGTGATGTACTCTGTGTATAAGTTAAATAATCAGGGTGACAATATACAGCCTTGATGTACTCCTTTCCCAATTTGGAACCAGTCTGTTGTTCCATGTCCAGTTCTAACTGTTGCTTCCTGACCTGCATGCAGATTTTTCAAGAGGCAGGTCAGGTGGTCTGGTATTCCCATCTCTTGAAGAATTTTTCAGAGTTTGTTGTGGTCCACACAGTCAAAGGCTTTGGCATAGTCAATAAAGCAGAAGTAGATATTTTTCTGGAACTCTGTTGCTTTTTTGATGATCCAGTGGATGTTGGCAATTTGATCTCTAGTTCTGCCTTTTCTAAAACCAGCTTGAATATCTGAAAGTTTACAGTTCACGTGTTGTTGAAGCCTGGCTTGGAGAATTTTGAGCATTACCTTGCTAGCATGCGGGATGAGTGCAATTGTGCAGTAGTTTGAGCATTCTTTGGCATTGCCTTTCTTTGGGATTGGAATGGAAACTGATCTTTTCCAGTCCTGTGGCCACTGCTGAGTTTTTCAAATTTGTTGGCATATTAAGTGCAGTACTTTCACAGCATCATCTTTTAGGATTTGAAATAGCTCAACTGGAATTCCATCCCCTTGACTAGCTTTGTTTGTAGTGATGCTTCCTAAGGCCGACTTGACTTCGTAATCCAGATTGTCTGGCTCTAGGTTCGTGATCACACCATCGTGATTATCTGGGTTGTGAAGATCTTTTTTGTATAGTTTTTCCGTGTATTCTTGCCACATCTTCTTAATATCTTCTCCTTCTGTTAGGTCCATACCATTTTTATTCTTTATTGTGCCCATCTTTGCATGAAATGTTCCCTTGACTATGTGAGTCTCCAAATCACCTGTGTGCTTCTTGCCACCTTCTGTCTCTGTAATCCTGCCTGTCTCACACACCTTTCCTAGAAATATTTACTAAGATAAAACTTTTATATTTGTTTTGGAATATCATTTTTTCAGGTAGATGCTTTCTATCTGACCATCACCACCTACTTGAACTTATTTAATGAGAGCTCCTTTATCCCACATTCCATAAGAAAAACTTTACTCATTGAGAGGTGAAATAGGAATGGAGAATTTAAGTACTTATTTGCTCTCATTTGTTTGCAGTTAGTGGCTGGGGTAACTTTTAATAAGTAATGTAACTTCCTTTCTGCTTTTTTCTAATCTGATTTTTTTGTGGGGCTTGATACCATCAAATTAAACTTTTTCCCTTTTTAGCCTACATTTTCCCTATTCCCACACTATTCCTGTATTTTTGAATAAGTGCTAGGATCCATTATTCCGTTGACATGATTGATGAGATTAGGATGATAGGCTGATTTAGGTTTCTTTGGAGTACTAATTTGTCTTTTGTCATTGTTTTAATCTTGAATTTTACTGCCTTTCAGCTTCTGATATTAATATCAGTGTTTTTGGAGCTTATTATGTGTCTTTATTTAATACAGCTGAGTTATAAGCATTACCTCCCTACCAATTTATTAGCCACCAACAACCACTCAGAATGCTTACACTTTTCTATCTTTATTTTATTTTGACACAACTTACCACTCTTTTTTTTAGAGATGATTCTTTCCCTGGTGTCTGTAACATCTTTTTCCTGGTTCTTTTCCTAACTGTGTAACAGTGCCTGATACATGTTTGGGACACAATGAACATTTGTTAAATGCTGAATCAAAGTATCATTTCCCCCTCTCAAACCAATACTCCATAGTCTTCTTTAAAGATTCTAATTTTTCTAAATACCTTTTACATGTTTATATACTGTACCTTCCATCATTTGCTTGTTACTTTTCTCATGTTTACTTTCTCATTCAAATCCACAGCTTCAACTGCTATCAATATTCTGATGACTGCTGTGATACAGGTGTTTCATTTCTCTAAGATGAGCTTTCTTCTGATAAGATCTTTTATTTTTTTTAGGCATCTCTACCTAAAGTGTCTGAACTTACCAGTTTCCGCAGAATTACTGGCCCCTTTGGAAAAAAAATTCCTTATCAGTCAATTAGAAACTTTAAGCTTTGAAATTACTGTAGACTTCTTTTTTTCCACCTCTAATCACTCTCATTGATCTTAGGACCTATTGTTTCTCTCTTTATCTCTCAAACTAGTTCCCTTTCTTCATTTAACTGCCCTTGACTTAGTTTGGGATTTGTTATTTTTATTTTGAAATAAGGGCTTCCCTGGTGGCTCTGAAGGTAAAGAATCTGCCTGAAATGCACAAGACCTGGGTTTGTTCCCTGGGTTGGGAAGATCCCTCGGAGAAGAGAATGGCAACCCACACCAGTATTCTTGTCTGGAGAATTCCATGGGCAGAGGAGCCTGGTGGGCTACAGTCCATGGGGTTGGCAAAAAGTAGGACACAACTGAGCGACTAACAGTTTTGTCAATAAAATATTTCTCGTTTCCCTCTATTTCAGTCTCTAACAACGACTGTTTTTTGTCTAATGTGATCTACACCTCCACCAACACTTAGCCAACACATTAGCAATTCCAGCCTTGCATTATCTGTAAATTCATGCTCACTCACCTCCATTCTTTTGTACCTGCTACTACCTTTGCTGGGTATGTTCTCTCTTCTTTCCTTTCTTGGCTAATTACTACTTATGTCTTGAGCCTCAGGTGAAGTTTTTCTCTGACTCCACTCTGTCCCAGGTCTTTCTTCTTTGACTCCTTAATAACTCAAAGGACTTTGGTACTGTATTGTAATTATGTGTTTACTTACCTGGCTGCCCCACTAAAGTGTGAGATTTTTGAGGGCAGTAACAAAGATCTCCACTGTATTAGTCTCAGTTTTTAGCTCAATACGGTAACACCTAAGTGCTTAGTTAAAAAACAATAGCAAGACTATAATTCTTGAAGTTTGAAAAATCTGATGAGTTACATGTGTCGGGTTATAAGAGTTTTAAATTCTTCTTTGTGTGAACTCTGATTGGAGATAAGTAAGGTTTGCAAGGTCCTTTTACTGCTTTGTAGAATTGTGCCTTGTTGACCTATGAAGGAAGCTAGGAAATTCCATTCTTGGGAACTTTGAGCAAATGCATCATATGGAATCCTGTTTTAGCAGTACTCAGCGGACATGCTAATAATAATAAATAGAGGGTATAGGCACCTCTTTAGTCATTGTTCTACCAGATTCCCTGCAAGGTAGTTGAAAGTAGCTGTTACTTCTTTCCTAGGTACATAGTGCTTTTCACTTCTTTGAGATCAGTAACACTGGGCTATATAGAAGTATACACAGTTGTTTAAGGGTCAGGTAAATTTTGTAGAGTATGATGTAGGAAATGTTGGGAACTATGTAATTTACTTGTTGCCTTGATTTACACAAGAAGAGAAACAACTTAGAGTCTTATAACTTCAGAGGAACCTTTCTCTCTTCATTACCATTCTTCACTTACTATACCCTGCTTGGTCAGTCCTCTAGTGTACTGTCTTCATATTTTCCTTAGGAAATTCTTTCCACATTAATTTGCAAACTTCATTGCTTTGACTTTTGTCCAGCTGATCAGGGAGACTGTTTTCTACACAGGATTTGCAGCCTGAAAGGAATAGGACTGATTTCATGATTCAGATTTCATGAGTGGGAGAGAAAATGGATATTCCAGATCCAGATTAGTGAGAGCTGCTCCTGATTTTCTTTTGAATTATCTGAGAAGTTAGAAAATCTTATCTCATTAAAGCAAATCTTTGCCATAAATGACCAGCCTAGTAAAATATGATAAAAACATAGTCCCTTTAATAATGGACAGCTCCTGGCATTATTGTGCTAAGGAATATTTCATTGTTTTCTGAGCTTGATTTACATAATAAATAGTACTCCATGTTAAATGTATTAGTTATCTGTATTGGTTCTCTGTTAGTTATCTAAACTGGATAATGCTGGCTGTTAATATATTCTTTGCCAAATTTCTTCTTTTATAGGGAAGCTGTTAGTTTTATCTGCCGTAGAAGCATGAGCTGTCCATGGACTTACACTCCTCTGCCTATGTGCTGGTCTTACACTCCTGCCTATGTGCTTATGACAACAATAATGACTTTATCTTATTGGCCATTCAGAATTCAGGACACCATTTGAGGGAATGCAGTTTATCTTTATTTAAGTTTAAATTAAAAAATGTGATTGCTATAAATGTTGATATTCCTAAAGATGAGTATGTTTCAAAGTTCTAGTTATTGCTTCTATGTGAAGAATGCCCTGCTTGCTTTGTATCTGTAACTGTGGCTGTAGAACTTGTACTTTATCCCTCAGCTGTTCACCTTCTTTCTCAGAAAATAGACTGACTTTCATTGCTTCATCCAGTCTGATTTATTTTTTGCTATTGGTGCCTCAAACTTAATATATCTCAAATTGAACTTATTCTTCTCAATCTTATCCTCCTACATTCTTCATTTCTTCTTTCTACCTGACAGTTTGATTTATCATTTATTGTTGGAACTTCGCATGTCAATATATTCTATGTCTCAAATCAAACTTTTTGTCTATCATTTCACCAATCCTAATGTGCCAGAACCCTCTACTCCTATATTTTCTACCTTAATTATTGGAAACACTGTTTGTAATCTAAGTATTTGTTTATTTGTCTGGCTTTCCCTCTATCTGAGGCCAGGGTTTTAGCTTATTCATTATTGCACTCTCATTGCCTCTCTCTGACACATAATAAAGCACTTAGTATTGCTGAATGAATGACTAAAGGTGTAGTTTAGAATATCATCTATTAATTCAACATTTATTGTTTAGTGTGCAGGACAGTATAATAGGGAGTCTGGAAATGTCCTGATTTTAGCACTACCAGTCCTGTGTCCTGGGCAAACTGAGACAGTTTGTCACCATAACTGTAAACCATAGGTAAATGGGCATATAATTGTGAATAAAGCAGAAAATCCCCTTCTCTTATGGAGCTTATTAGTAAAAACATTTTAATTTTCTTGTGGTTTTACTTGAGGTCCATATTTTATGTAAACTTTTAACGTATTGATGAAAGATTTTATGTGATTAATTTTTGGAAACTTCAGTGAAGATTTTATGAGCACTGTCTCTTTTGAACACGTGGGCTATTGGAGGTTCCCCCCCTTTTATATGAATTTCAGTATTTTGCAATTCATTTTATATTTCTTTAGATAGATTCATTTAGAATCTCTGCCACGTTTTGATGACAGTTGCCTCAGAACTAGCCCTGAGCTTAGCTTTCTTCATTTTCATACCTGTCTCACATTATCCCAGTGTCTGTATACACCTAAATTTTAAAAAACATGCCTTTAATTGTGAGATGAAATACAGAAAATCACATAAAATATAAACATACAACTTAAAAAGTGAATATGCAAAGAAATATGACATTGCAAAATTTTCTTTTTCATTCATAACCCATACCTTCTCCCCTACCGGTAAGCACTATTCTAATTTTTATGGCAATTACTTCCTTGCCTTTCTTAATGGATCATTGAATCATATTGGTGAAATGATCCCTTTAACATAATGAAATGTCTCTTATTCCTGGTATTTTTTGTTCTAAAATCTTGTTGGATTTTAATTTAGTCCCACCAGGTTTTTTTGATGCATGGATGTATGATGCATCTTTTCTCGTCCTTTCATCTTTAATCTCTGTCTTTATGTTTTAAGAGGGTTTCCTATAGACACCACGAAGTTAGATGTTGCTTTTTTTTAAAATCAAGTCTGGCAGTCTCTTTTAATTGGGGTGTTTAAACATTTTCCATTTAATTTTGTTACCAATATTGTGTTTAAATTTACTCTTAGAATTTGCTAGCTATTTTTCTCATCTGTTCTTTGTTTCCGTTTGCTTCTTTCCCTGCCATAGTTGAATGATTTGAGTTTTTAAAAAGATGGTTCTGTTTTTATCTCTGCTACTGGCTTGCTAGCTGTAGCTTTCTTTTATTTTTTAGTGGTTCCTCTAGAGTTTACAATATACATCTCTAACTTAACACTGTCTATCTTCAAATAATATTGTACCACTTTATGTATAGTATATGAGCCATACATCTTCTGTTTTCCTCATCTCATTCTCTGTGCTATTGTGGCTAAATATTTTCTATTTATATATACTGTGATGCCACAATAAATCAAAATTATTTTTGCTTAAAACAATTATTTTTTAAAGTGATTAGGAATGAGAAAAAATGTCTTGTTAACCCACATAAAAGTAGTTATAAATCATAATAAATTAAAAAGTAGTTATTAATCTCAAGTACACTTTTCATATCAGAAGTTTGCTCTGGGTCTTTTTTATATCCTCATGTTCATCTTTCTTCTATCTTGTTGAACATAGGAAGAATATTTATAATAGATACTGTAATGTTCTTTGTGCTAATTCCATTTTCTCATTTCAAGATCTATTTCTTTTCATTGACTTTTCTCCAGTTTATAGGACATATTTCTCAGCCTCTTGGAAGAACAATCTCTGGTTGTTTGCACTATTCCCTTGATATAATCTGTAGCTTGGTTTGTGTGTGCCTATATGTGCGTTTCATTTGAAATCTGTACTTGTTCTTTGGTTGCGTACCCCATTTTGGAACATTTCAACTTCTGTACTGGATTTCTCTGCTCTATCAGACAACCCTTGTCTTTTCAAAATGGACCCTGGCTTCCTTTTAAGGATTTCTGTTCTTGTGGTCCTTGTGTGGTTTTTGTTTTGAATTGCAAATTCAAACCATCAGTCACTAAATTAACACCCAGAGTTTTAACGTCATTCATGAATTTTTTTCGAATCACCTCAGTGTTGTTGAGAACTTCCCCTCCTTTTGACCCCCTGGGCACTTTCACACTTCAGATATTTTTACATGTTTACGATTATTTTAGCATTTATAGCACTTAATGCTTCACTAGGTTGTTTTTTTTTTTAAGGGTAAGGTATGTATTATACTCACCTCTTTTGTGCTTCAGACCTTACACCAATAAATCTTGATTTCAGTTGCATTTTAATACATGAGGGCCTCAAAAAAAATTATTTCTGGTTTAAAAAATATATTTTATTAGTCCAGATTAGCAAGCTTTTAAACTGTACAGATTATTGCCATAGATCCTCATAGTGTACATTTTGCTTAGGTGTACAAGATTTTCACAAGTTTTGAGTCCTCACTTTCATCCTTTTATTACCTGTTGAATATAGTTGCTCTGTTTTCTCTCATTGTTTTCTTGAATATCAATGTAACTTAAACTGTGCTCATTTTCTTGATATATTTCTTGAAAAGTTTTTGTCAGCCTTTCAGCAGACTAAGTCTGTCTAATAAGTTCATTTACTGAGTATGGCAGTAATGTCAGTAATCTTATGCTTGTATCTTGTATCCAAGAAATACTGAGTGCCAAACATGCACCCAAGCAAGGAAGTGAAGATGAAAATGTTAGTCACTCAGTCATGTCTAACTCTCTGAAACATTATATTAATTACTTGCTGTAAGCTCACTTTAAATTATCTCTGTCTAGGCTCTCTCTACAAATTCATATATGCTATTCGGTATAATTAATGAAAATGGAAGTGTTAGTTGCTCAGTCGTGTTCAACTCTTTGCGACCTCATGGACTGTAGCCTGCCAGGCTCCTCTGTGCATGGCATTTTCCAGGCAAGACTACTGGAGTAGGTTGCCATTTCCTTCTCCAGAGTACCTTCTTGACTCAGGGATCAAACTCAGGTCTCTCGCATTGTAGGCAGACTCTTAACTGTGTAAGCCACCAGGGAAGTAGTATAATTAATAGGTTTCTTCAATATATAAAACTGTGATCTTCTGAGGGTGAAAATATTTTGTCAGTTAAATAGAACTTCCATTTTCAACCCAACCAAATATGCTTGGAAGAAAAAAAGCTTTTGTTTTCTTTAGGTAGTTTTTCTTTTGTTTAGTAAGTTCAATTCTATAGGTTTTTAATTTAATATATATTAATATTAATTCCACTCTTACATAGAATTTTTAAAATGCAACAACAACTTCTGTGGCTAGACATTAGTTCTGATAATATATAGTCCCAGCAATTGACATACCAAATGATTTTATACATTTTTAGTGCTTTTTGTCTGAAATCATTAGAATCCTGTCTTATCTGCCAATGATATGATTTTACTTATAGGTGGCTATGCACCATTCCTGTCTTTGACTGCCAGGGAAAGTACTTTTACTGTCATTTCTAATACTGAGAAAGATGTTCCAGGTCCAGGACACTATAATGTTTCAGAAAAGCAGGTAAATTTACAGCAGTCATTATAATTGTCTGAGTTAATAAAAATCATGCTTTCTTCCTCTAATAGACTAATGTGTCACTTGCCATATTATATTTTCCCTTTATATCATTTTCTTTTACCTTTCAATCTGCATTTTGCAATAGAATAAGAGAAAAAGAAGTGTGTTCAGTGGTAATTGTTTGGTGGGTGTTTTTCATCAGTGTATATAACCTATAGGACAAAAGCATTGTCCTTGAGATTCCTGAATGGGAGAATAGGGCTACTGAATTAACTAAGGCCCATGAAAGTTGTACAGATGGTCAAGATACGTAAAATAAGAATGACATCAGGGCGCAGGAATTGGTTTGTGCTCTGTACTCTAAAGCTGTAGCTGTGGCCATTGTCTCCTATTTCTATATTGTCTCAAGAGGCTGTGACCAGAAAATCTTCAATGGTTCATTTATGTTCAGAAACAATATTTTAATTCCAGTATTTTCATAATCATTGACATCAAGTTTTACCCTTTTCACATACATTTTGCATTCAGTCAGAAACATTGTTTTAATTCCAGTATTTTCATAATCATTAACATCAAGTTTTACCCTTTTCACATACATTTTGAAGTCATAGTAAGTCCTACCTGACCCAAGAAGACCTATATCTCCCCTGTTGGAGGCCCAGATCCAATTGTTGATGCATTAATTTTTGTATTAGACTTCTGAATTATTAATAGCAATGTTTTCTACCAGTTATGGGGTTTTGGTTGCAAGCAGTCAAATGAATTTTTAGGACAGATACTAGGTTTCTAATAAATTTATAGGTAAGGTACTTGGTTGGCTCATAGACTTGAAGGAAGAATTGTTCAATCAGGTCTTTAAGAAGGATCAAGTGAAAGTGAAAACTGCTCAGTCGTGTCTGACTCTTTGCAACCCCATGGACTGTAGCCTGCCAGGCTCCTCTGTCCATGGAATTCTCCAGGCCAGAATACTGGAGTGGGTAGCCATTCCCTTCTCCAGGGGATCTTCCCCACTCAGGGATCAAACCCGGGTCTCCCACATTGCAGGTGGATTCTTTACCAGCTGAGCCACCAGGGAAGCCCTGAAGAAGGATAGGACTAAAGCAATTCCAGGTATTTCAGTAGTAAGAACTTCTGCATTATTCAGTGGCAAACTTCCATTAGATAACGTAATTCCATAACTTCCTTCCACTTTTATTTTTTTTTATGTCTAACAACACTAAAGATGAAAATTCTCAGTGGGGAAAATCTGGTCTGGTTTTATTATGGATCCACAGCTGTGATTCCTGGGTCAGGGGTTCCTGTGTTTGGAAGTTCCTTTTAAAACACAAAATACAGTAGGTTTGATTGTCCCAAGAGTGGTAAATATGGTATTTTGAGCAAATAATAGAAGGGAAGCTGGACAGATAAAAGCAATAGATTTCCATTATGTTTCATGCTTTGACTGCCTAGTTCTCCTCTCTCATGCATGTGACATATACACACTTCTTCCTATATATGTAATTTTAAAAGTTCAGTTATTTTATGTATAATTTAATTAGTGTTTTGCTACTACCTTTAAAGATAGTATTACAGTGTCATTGCTAAACGAATCCTGGATCTTTAGATTAAGACTACTTCTCATTCTTGACATTCCTGTTTCATTACTCTGCAGTTTATAGATTTGATGGTAAACATAACATGAACTTTTATAAAGAAGTGGTTAGGAGTGTGGGCTCTGGAGCTAAACTGCTGCTGCTAAGTCACCTCAGTCGTGTCCGACTCTGTGCGACCCCATAGACGGCAGCCCACCAGGCTCCCCTGTCCCTGGGATTCTCCGGGCAAGAATACTACTGTGGGTTGCCATTTCCTTCTCCAATGCATGAAAGTGAAAAATGAGAGTGAAGTCACTCAGTTGTGTCCGATTCTTAGTGACCCCATGGACTACAGCCTACCAGGCTCCTTTATCCATGAGATTTTCCAGGCAAGGGTACTGGAGTGGGGTGCCACCGCCTTCTCTGCTGGAGCTAGAGTACTTAGACTCAAAATCTGTCTCTGCTTACTAGCTGTGAGACTTAATCTTAACCACTTAGTCTCTTCAGGCCTTTGTTTCTTCATCTATTAAGTAGCAGCAGTAATTTGGTAGGCTTTTTTTCCCTAAGGATTAAATATATTAATAAGCATTTAGAATAGTATCTTAAAGTACTGAAGGTTGGCCTTCAGTAAATTTTAACCATTATTAGTGTTGCCATTTTACATTAGAAAGGGGAAAGATATAGAGGGAAAATTAAAAAAAAAAGTGATGTATGAAGCAAGGAAATATAGGTAAGGACCTGTTCTGTTTCTGTAACTGAACAAAAGGCTATAGCTTAAGATTTTTCCATTACTCATTCCATGTTCCTTTAACAAGAACTTTATCTGCTGGAGTTCTAAGCCTAGTGAGATGAATAGACTTTTCAAATCTAAGGTGTCTGAGTTCTTGGTTCTTAGGCTTGCATTTTGTCCTTTAAATAAACTTTCTCTTAGCATTTTCACCGACAGTTAGAAGGCTCTGCAGGGTGTCCCCATCTTCCATCCTACCACACTCCTCCTGGTACTCATTAGTCCTATTTTCCTGTCCTAGTCAGGACAGAAAATTAATTTCCCCAGTCAATACACAAACCTCCTTATTTTGTTTTCTGCTTGGTAGGAAAGAATGTTAAATGATCACTTGGTAGTTTCAACTTCCAGTTCGGGGGAACATGTCTTGCTTTTCCACGAACTCTTAAAATGTCCAGAAAATTAGAGCCTAGAGCACAAAAAGCAAAACATTAAATAGTGGGACATTAGATGTAGTCATTAGAAGTGTCACTCCTGCTTCCACTCCCTGGCTTACAGACCAGACCAGCATGGGTCTGTGGGCTTGCTAGTTCTGACAGTATTTCCCTCATTAAGCCTGATATGTAATTCTAGTATTCAAAGAGGGAAATACAGTAAAAATACATAATATGTAGGTTTCAAACTTATCAAATGTGATAGTTACCAGGATGTTGTAGTGTTACTTTAATACTGATTTTATTCAATTCTCTTGTAAAATAATGTACAATTTAAGTAAAATTTTATTTTATTCCCAATTGGGTACATTTCCTAGATTTTAAGAGTAAGAAATAAGGAAGTGTGCTTTTTGTGAAATGGATGATCTAAGAAAAAGTTCTAGTATTCTCTACTTTTCTCCTTAAAACTGTAAACAGATGCCTGGAAAATATTTATTTCCTTGCTTTAAAAAATGACTTACTACTTATTTACACAGTTGCTGTTAAATTTTGGAGTTTTAAGTTGAAGTCTTGTAGAACTTTTAGAAGTTCAAGAAGTGTGAATTTATCATACTATTTGAAAAATAAGTCATTTCATTTTAAACAACTGAATTAGGAAACATGTTTGTAATGTGACATAGGTTACATGTTATGTAAATAATGTATTGGATAATAAAGGGGTAATCTTACTGGAAATTAATGCATATATTTGGTAATTTATTTTTATACTTTTCTTTTGGAAGCATAGATTGAAATGTTGCTTTCTATGGGCAGTTAGTAAATATCATTTAAAGACTTCAAATGAAATGTTAAAAAACCCAAAATGTGGGTTGTATTTGTGAGGACCTGCCTCCACTGCTAAATGTAGCAGTAGAATACTTGAAGCTTTTATGAAAGCAGAAGATTTAGGAGTTGAAATTTTTTCCCCCTATTTGGTCTTCTCTATTTCTGTCTTCCTCTTATGGTCATTTCACTTTGGTTATGGTTGAGACTATTATTCTAAAGTTGGAGGTGGGGCATAATTTTTGCTTTTATAGCTCTTGGCCAGTTATAGGCAAAGCAGTTTCCTTTAGCATATCTGAAGTATGTTAATTTTTTTCAAGAGGAAAAGAAAAGTAGAAAAGAACATGAAGGAAATTTGCTCTGTAGAAAAGAACCCAAAGAAAATTCAGAAAATAAAAGAAGTAGAACCAAATTTACAAAGTGCAAACTTCTGATCCTTTGATAACCTATTAAGGCACATACTTTGTTTTGTTCATATCCAACTTCCTAGGATGATTCCCATTCCAAAAATTCAGTACAAATTTCACTGTTTTCTGGTTGTCTTCTAGCATCAGACCTGTTCATGCAAGGTAGATACCATTTTGTTCCTTCCTACATGAGAATGGCCCTGGAGAAGGAACTGGCAACCCACTCCAATATTCTTGCCTGGAGAATCACATGGACATAGGAGTCTGGTGGTGTAGAGTCCATGGGGCTGCAAAGAGTTGAACACGACTGAGTGACACACACACACACACACACACACACACACACACACACAGGAAGAATGGTTCCAGCTATGGGGATCTATTTCCTGTGCCTAGAGAGTTTAGGTCTTATTTTTTGTCAACTAGGCCTAGGAGTAGATGTCCAAATCTAGGTTTTATTTTTGATTGAAGAGATATACCTCATTAGAGTTGAATGATAGGCTATCATATGTGATACAGTGCATGGGTTCACACTTTAGATGAGACTCTGCCTCCTATAGTGTTGAGAGATTGCTGACAATATAGTAATTGATCAAATAACTATAGCACATAGACAAAACACAGTTCTCAAGAAAGACTAAGACCACTTTCTCACAGGTGTTTATATAAAATGCATTATTACTTGGTAGTATGATTGACTCAGTTATCTGACATATGGAAGTTCCCTTTGTAAACTAGAAAAAATTGTAGAATTGGTAGTTATGAATAACGTGAAACATAGAGTGGTTAATTTGTATGCAGTTAAAAAAAATCAGATTAGGTCTATCTAAACTTTTGTTGAAGTATTCAATATAAATTCAAATTCAGTTTGAAATGTCAGATCTTAGAGACTAGACTAATGGCTGTCAAAGAATGAAAATTTGGAGATATTCTCTTCACATGATTTTATTTTTTAATTTAACTTATTAAATTTTTTACAAAATCATTAATGTCTACCATTATAGACCCAAATTCTATAAACATAGGAATTGTGATCTTATTAAATCAGTAATCAAGTAGTGAATTGAGTATCTAAGAATAATTTGACTCATTTTTTTTTTACCAAAAGAACTTTTTGTATATTTCTTAAACTCTGAATAAAGCCTAATAAGATGCAAACTAGAGATAGGCTCAGTCAATAGTGATTGTGAACAACTGACATGAAAACATCATGTGAAAAAGTCTGTTGGTAAATTAATAACTTAAAAAAACATATCTGATCAATCCAATGCCAACAATTATTAATATGAATCATCTTTGAAATGACTGAACTGTGACTGTTTATTGAAACTAGTATGATGGAATTTTATTTGAATTAGCTGGTTTTTAGCCAGTTGATAACTTTCTGATTCTAGAGAATCCAGATATGTGACATGAAGAGCCATGGAAGATTCCTTCCAGGACTCTCCCTGCAATAAACAGTGTTTACAACTAATCTGAGCATAAAACCAAGCTGTTGCCAGTAAAACTGCATAAACATCCCTGGAAATGACCAAAGTGTTATTCATGAAAATAATTAATCCTAAACAAGATTGGAAGGCTGTCTTTCCCCCTGCAGTATGAGCATTTAATCTCATTTCAGAGGTATAAATTATCCAGAGACCTATAAACAAACAAATGTACTCTTTATTCCTGCTCTGTAGCTTTAAGGATTCCTTATCTTTGACTTCTGTTTTAAAACTGAGTGTTGCATTCTTTTTGAGTGTTCAAAGTACAGCAAATTTTAGTTTGAGTTTGGCATTAAAACCGACAGCTGTATTGTCATCCTTTCTTATTACTGTCTCTCATTAGAGAACTGTCTTCAGTCAAGAGACTTAACTTTCTCAGGCTGAGTTTTAAAACTGTTAATGTTCATATTAATATGTAATATTTATCAAATAGATACTGATTTAAAAGTGTTTCTTTTAATTCATGTTTTTCCTGTCCAATTCAGTGTAATATAAAAGGAGGCCAAAGTCTACAAAACCGGGAAAAGCGTTTTAAGAAGTTTATTTCAGATGGTCCAGGGCCAGCAAGCTATGATCGATCTTATCCTGGAACACTGGCTGTCGTGAACAGGAAAACTCTGGAGGCTAAAAAGCATCTTCAGTCAGTATGTTTCTATTTTTATTTCTGTTCCTAATGACTTTTTTTTATAGTTAAAATAATGTAGAAGTTGTATAATGTTTTATGTGATAAGTATATTTAAAAAACCTTATGGTAAAAATTATCTGGTTTATTAGTATCCATATTGTAGTTCATAATTAAATGAATACTCTGTTTACAAATTTTAGTTTTTTACCTGTATTAACATTTGACTTCATTTTTGCTTTTGATAGAAGTATAATCTCTTCCAGTGTCTGAGGTGAACAGAAAGTAAAGGAGATTTTAAAAGTTGCCATAGTGATTTTCATCTGTATATAGAGGAAACTATGTGTTAAGTACTATTAATAATATAGTGAAAATTGAAACATGACTCCTGAAATAAATAAGCTTCAAATTTAGGTTAGAGAGAGATATATAGATCATTAATAATGTAAGATGAAATATGACAGATGCTAAGTGAATGATCATGAGATTAAGTGCAATAGGAACTTAAAGGAAGACTGATGTATTATGGGAAAGCATAGTTTGGAGATGGTTTATAGCAGAGGTTTGTTTTGAAGCATAGGATTGCAATATCCTCTCCAGAGGATCAGTATATCCTTAATAAGTAAATTTTTAGATGACTAAATGATTTAAATGCCAGTATTTTATTTGATATACTTACACCAGGTGTGTTTGTGTTAGTCACTCAGTCTTGTCTGACTCTTAGTGACCCCATGGACTGTAGCATGCCAGGTTCCTCTGTCCATAGAATTCTCCAGGCAAGAGTGGGCTGCCATTCCCTTCTTCGTGGGATCTTCCCGATGCAGGGATTGAACACAGGTCTCCTGCATTGGTAAAGGTGAATTCTTTACCATCTGAGCCACCAGGGAAGCCCTATATTTATACTAATATTTCTAATATATGTTACTCCTTCTTGTTTTTATTTAAATTATAAAATATTTTACATTAAAGGAAATTCTGAAAAAACAGATAATCACCTGAAAACTTCTGACTCTTAACACTGATAATTCTGTTAATTTTTTCAGTGTTAAACTGTATAGGTATATGACTTTATTGTAGTTTTTCTTTAGTCACTAAGTCATGTTCGACTCTTTTGTGACCCCATGAACTGTATGTAGCCCGCCAGGTTCCTCTGTTCATGGGATTTTCCAGGCAGGAATACTGGAGAGGGTTGCTATTTCCTTCTCCAGGGGATCTTCCTCATCCAGGGATTGAACCCCCATCTCCTGCATTGGCAAGTCTGTTCTTTATCACTGAGTCATCTGAGAAGCCATATGACTTTATACACTGACATATAATATTACATAATTTAAATAGCTATAGTCAAAAATTTAATTTTAATTTATATTTTTGATTTCCATTTAATGTTATATCAGATATTTTCCTTGCTACATAGTCTGCAAAATTAGGATTTTTATACAGGGCACTGGTAAGAGGAAGATAAGTCGGGAGTTGGGGAGGAATGAAGCCAGGAAATGTTAAAGAAAAATGTAAAGTTTGTTTTGGCCTGGCAGATACTATGATTGCATAGTGCAAGTCCACTTGTAATTGCTGATTGTTGATGTGACTTTAGGAATGAATGCCCATTTTTGAAATCACTAATAATTGCTTTTCTAAGCAAGATAAAAAACAGCCAAGTGAGGGAAGTTCCTTACCTGCAATCGTGACTGAAATAGTAGTTTGGTTTGTATTGTGTTTTATGTTACTATTTAATAATAGTTTGATTAAATCTTGGTTTATATTATGAAGTAACTTGAATTCACTCTTTTAAATTACTTTTACAAACATTTTTGATTTATATTATAAAACTCATGAAGTCAATATTTAATAGTTGTCTTTTGTAAATTTTAATATTTTATTATTCATTCTTTCTCTTGTCTTTGAGTAAATAGTATCATTTTTTTTTTAATAGAAAATGTCAAGGGCACTTACAGTTTTCAGAAGTGTTTATGTTCCTTCAATTCCTTTTGGACGGTCATATGGTTATGATATTAATGAGGATGACAGTATCATAAAACATTTACCACCTACCAATGACAGCACACTAGGTCCAGCATACTATAAACCTCAAATTGTAAGTATAATACATTTCACATTGACAGTTGGAAGACCATTTATGATTTTGCATGTTTTAGTTAATGTAACACTAACTGCATAACAAATAGACCCCCAAATCTCACTGGCTTAATGCAGCAGAAATTCTTTTTTTTTCTCATTCATATGGGCATTTCTTGTTGATAAGAGACTTTCCTCCTTGTATAAATTCAGGAACACAGGCTTATTCCATTCATGTTACTGTCATCTCCAAGGGTCTTGGTGTCGTATGTATCCATCCTGTAGAAGGGAAAGAGGACAGAGAACTGCTAGTGGGTTTTTTTCTAGGCTAGGCCTGGGAGTTCAGGGCACACTGAACTTTATATTATTTATTTTATTTTTTATATTTATTTATATAATATTATTTATTATATTATATTATTTATATATAACTTTATATATTCCAGAAAAAGAGGAAATAGGTTTAACTTACTAAAAGTCTTATGCTGCATTGTATAAGCATATACAATACATAGATATTCTTTTCCTGAATTTGAAAGGGAAAAAGCATTTTCTTTATAAAATAACTTGTTTTTAAAAAAATATTTATTTGCCTGTACCATGTTGTGGCATGTGGGATCTTTATTTGTGTCATGTGGGATCTAGTTACCTGACCAGGGATTGTACTGAGGTCCCCTATATTGGGACTGTAGAGTCTTAGCCACTGGACTACCAGGGAAGTCCTATGACAGAGTTTGAATCTAATAAGCATTATTTATTCCATAAGTGATCATTAAGACAGATAAGGAGTCTCTCTCTGATTTAAAATATCAAACATAATATAGCAGAGCCATCTTATCCAGGTTTTAAATTTCAAATGAGCAAAAACTTCAGTCAGTTGAAATGTATGAGTTATCCATGAGTATAGATATGTCTGATTTTACTTCATTTTACAAGACTGAAGGACATTGTGCTTGGAATCTGTTGTATTTTTATACTTTTATGGGATCTGGAAGAAGTAATCCTAGTGAGGAAAATGGCAAATTTAGGGTAGGGTTAAGGAGAGGCTGAAGAGACATCTTGGGCAAAGAAAAGATATACTCAGAATTTAGCTTTTATTCCCAGTACTTTCTTTTTTTTTTTTTTTTAATTATTTATTTATTTTACTTTACAACATTGTATTGGTTTTGCGATACATTGACTTGAATCCCCCACGGGTGTACATGTGTTCCCCATCCTGAACCCCCCTCCCAACTCCCTCCCCATCCCATCCCTCTGGGTCATCACAGTGCACCAGCCCCGAGCATCCTGTATCATGTATCAAACCTGGACTGGTGATTCGTTTCACATATGATAATTTACATGTTTTAATGTCATTCTCCCATATCATCCCACCCTCGCCTTCCCCCACAGAGTCCAAAAGACTGTTCAATACATCTGTGTCTCTCTTGCTGTCTCACATACAGGGTTATCATTACCATCTTTCTAAATTCCATATATATGCGTTAGTATACTGTATTGGTGTTTTTCTTTCTGGCTTACTTCACTCTGTATAATAGGCTCCAGTTTCATCCACCTCATTAGAACTGATTCAAATGTATTCTTTTGAAAGCTGTGGTACATATACACAATGGAATATTACTCAACCATCACAGCCTTCTTATCCATTCGTCTGCTGATGAGCATCTAGGTTGCTTCCATGTCCTGTCTATTATAAACAATGCTGTGATAAACATTGGGGTACACATGTTTCTTTCAATTCTGGTTTCCTCAGTGTGTATGCCCAGCAGCGGGATTGCTGGGTCATATGGCAGTTCTATTTCTGTTTTTTTAAGGAATCTCTACACTGTTCTCCATAGCGGCTGTACTAGTTTGCATTCCCACCAACAGTGTAAGAGGGTTCCCTTTTCTCCACACCCTCTCCAGCATTTATTGCTTGTAGACTTTTGGATAGCAGCCATTCTGACTGGTGTGTAATGGTACCTCATTGTGGTTTTGATTTGAATTTCTCTAATAATGAGTGATGTTGAGCATCTTTTCATGTGTTTGTTAGCCATCTGTATGTCTTCTTTGGAGAAATGTCTGTTTAGTTCTTTGGCCCACTTTTTGATTGGGTCTTTTATTTTTCTGGAATTGAGCTGCAGGAGTTTCTCGTATATTTTTGAGATTAATTCTTTGTCCGTTGCTTAATTTGCTATTATTTTCTCCCATTCTGAAGGTTGTCTTTTCCCTTTGCTTATAGTTTCCTTTGTTGTGCAGAAGCCTTTAATTTTAATTAAGTCCCATTTGTTTATTCTTGCTTTTATTTCCAATATTCTGGGAGATGGGTCATTGAGGATCCTGCTGTGGTTTATGTCAGAGAGTGTTTTGCCTATGTTTTCCTCTAGGAGTTTTCTAGTTTCTGGTCTTACATTTAGATCTTTAATCTATTTTGAGTTTATTTTTGTGTATGGTGTTAGAAAGTGTTCTAGTTTCATTCTTTTATAAGTGGTTGACCAGTTTTCCCAGCACCACTTGTTAAAGAGGTTGTCTTTTTTCCGTTATATATCCTTGCCTCCTTTGTCGAAGATAAGGTGTCCATAGGTGTGTGGATTTATCTCTTGGCTTTCTATTCTGTTCCATTGATATATATGTCTGTCTTTGTGCCAGTACCACACTGTCTTGATGACTGTGGCTTTGTAGTAGAGACTGAAGTTGGGCAGGTTGATTCCTCCAGTTCCATTCTTCTTTCTCAAGATTGCTTTGGCTATTCGAGGTTTTTTGTATTTCCATACAAATTATGAAATTATTTGTTCTAGTTCTCTGAAAAAATACCATTGGTAGCTTGATAGGGATTGCATTGAATCTATAGATTGCTATGGGTAGTATACTCATTTTCACTATATTGATTCTTCTGATCCATGAGCACAGTATATTTTTCCATCTATTTGTGTTCTCTTTGATTTCTTTCATCAGTGTTTTATAGTTTTCTATATATAGGTCTTTTGTTTATTTAGGTAGATTTATTCCTAAGTATTTTATTCTTTTTTTTTGCAGTGGTGAATGGTATTGTTTCCTTCATTTCTCTTTCTGTTTTCTCATTGTTAGTGTATAGGAATGCAAGGGATTTCTGTGTATTCATTTTATATCCTGCAACTTTACTGTATTCATTGATTAGCTCTAGTAATTTTCTGGTGGAGTCTTTAGGGTTTTCTATGTAGAGGATCATGTCATCTGCAAACAGTGAGAGTTTCACTTCTTCTTTTCCAATCTGGATTCCTTTTATTTCTTTATCTGCTCTGACTGCTGTGGCCAAAACTTCCAAAACTCTATTGAATAGTAGTGGTGAGAGTGGGCACCCTTGTCTTGTTCCTGACTTTAGGGGAAATGCTTTCAATTTTTCACCATTGAGGATAATGTTTGCTGAGAGTTTGTCATATATAGCTTTTATTATGTTGAGATATGGTCCTTCTATTCCTGCTTTTTGGAGGGTTTTTATGATAAATGGATGTTGAATTTTGTCAAAATCTTTCTCTACATCTATTGAAGTAATCATATGGTTTCCCAATACTTTCTAATATTTGAACATGTCTCCATTTTTGGGTATAGGCTTAAGCACCTTGTGAAACCATTTGATTTTTGCTAACAGGTATACTGTGGCATTTTGGAGTCTTAGATACTTTGAATTGTTAAGTTTTTATTCCTAAAGTATTTTTATTGTAATTTATATAATTGCACATTGACTAGTAAAAACATAAAAACAGATAAGCATGTACCCACCATCACATATAACACATAATAAAATTTTATTACACTTGAATTCAGTTCAGTTCAGTTCAGTTGCTCAGTTGTGTCCGACTCTTTATGACACCATAGATTGTAGCCCAACAGGTTCCTCTGTCTATGGGAATTCTCCAGGCCAAGAATACTGGAGTGGGTTGCCATGCCATCCTCCAGGGGATCTTCCCAAACCAGGGATGGAACCCAGGTCTCCTGCATTGCAGGCAGATTCTTTACTGTCTGAGCCACCAGGAAAGCCCATATTAAAAAAAAGAATACATTATTACCCTGCCCAAGTTCCCTCCCTCCTTTTGTCTCCCTTTGCAAAAGTAAACAGTGAATCTTTTAGTTCAGTTCAGTTCAGTCACTCAGTCATGCCTGACTCTTTGTGACCCCATGGACTGTACTATGTCAGGCCTCCCTGTCCATCACCTACTCCTGGAGCTTACTAAACTCGTGTCCATCAAATCGGTGATGCCATCCAACCATCTCATCCTCTGTTGTCCCCTTTTCCTCCTGCTTTTAATCACTACGAGCATCAGGGTCTTTTCAAATGAGTCAGTTCTTCGCATCAGGTAGCCAAAGTATTAGAGTTTCAGCTTTAGCATCAGTCCTTCCAATGAATATTCAGGACTGATTTCTTTTAGGATGGATTGGTTAGATCTCCTTGTAGTCCAAGGGACTCTTAAGAGTCTTCTCCAACACAGTTCAAAAGCATCAATTCTTCAGAGCCCAGCTTTCTTTATAGTCCAACTCTCACATCTATACATGACTGCTAGAAAAAACCAAAACTTTGACTAGATGAACCTTTGTCAGCAAAGTAATATCTCTGATTTTTAATATGCTGTGTAGGTTGGTCATAACTTTTCTTCCAAGGCACAAGTGACTTAATTTCATGGCTGCAGTCACCATCTGCAGTGATTTTGGAGTCCAAAAATATAAAGTCTGTCATTGTTTCCACTGTTTCCCCGTCTATTTGCCATGAAGTGATGGGACTGGATGCCATGATCTTAGTTTTCTGAATGTTGACCTTTAAGCCAACTTTTTCCACTCTCCTCATTCATTTTCATCAAGGGGCTCTTTAGTTCTTCACTTTCTGCCATAAGGGTGGTGTCATCAGCATATCTGAGGTTATTGATATTTCTCCCGGCAATCTTGATTCCAGCTTGTGCTTCATCCAGCCCAGCATTTTGCATGATGTACCCTGCAAATAAATTAAATTAGCAGGGTGACAATAAACAGCCTTGACATACTCCTTTCCCAGTTTGGAACCAGTCTGTT